CAGCACCCCAGGACTCTGCTTTGCAAGGCAGGAATAATCCCTTTTCATACCCTTACCAGATGCCCCATGTCAGGAAGGGGATGCTGCAACCCAAGGCCAAGTGATGAACCCACAGAAAGGCCAGATTAAGTGCTTGAGATGAAGCCAGTGAGAGCTATGGGGTGGCACTTGTGGGTACAGGCAGCACATGCAGGTGCGCTGTTCCACTCCCCCTAGAGGTGTGCAGAGACATGCTAGTAGCCAGACACTTCCTGAAGTGGCATGGGGCCACTGAATGCAGGCAGCCTACTTGAACTCTCTTTAACTGCTAGCTGTGGTAAATACCTCCCACGCAGAGCCTGCACTTTGCACCCTGTCCTTCACTCCAACCCTTTGCCTCAGTCTGGAGTCCTCTCCTGCATCCAAACTCCCTCCCAGAAACTAATAACAGTTGTTCTAAGGTAAGGAGTAGGCTATTTTGAATTAACTATATTCTACATATTTTAAGACTGAAATATAATTACAGAATGGCTGTTAATTAAAAGACAGGTTAGTATAGCCTTAACCTCCGTGCCATAATTGTGAAAATTTTGTTTTAAATTAGGAAAAAGACTTGTATACAGGGGCCCAACTAAATCTAATAGTCCCAGGCCCACTGGAGACTTAATCCAGCATGCTGAAAGTTACCCAGCAGCACCTGAGGCTGGGGCAGAGACCATGGCATCTCCCTCTTACCAGCACTTGTCTTCCTAACCTGCAGATCTCCATCTCCTGGTCTCTTACCTGCCTCCCTCCTTGAGCCATCACTTGTCCTCTGAACTGCACAGTGATCTGCTTGCAGAAATAGGCAGGTGGGCCAATAGTCCCTGCTGCCTCCACTTCTGAGGCAGTCAGCTGTGGAGGAAAGGGTTGGGAGGTGTGACCCCCACTTCCCAGTGCATTCTTTCACATAATTCGTTGGGTGTTGCATTCATTTGGCTAATCAGTAGTACCTGCATGTTCAAATAAATGTATTGATATGCATAATGTTAACATATGGCAATACATAAGCAGTATTCATTAAAAATTGTATGCAAAATATGATCTATTTTTAAAGTTGTATACAATCTTGGAATACTTTTGTATCATGTCCCATAAGCTAATGCTGACATAAGTCACTTTAACGCTATCCTTAAAATCCAGTTCACAGATTATTTAAAAAGATACATTCTCCTTGACTAGCAATTGAACATTAAAGCCCCAATTGTGAAAAGATTTACAAAGGTGCTTAACATTAAGCCAGGGCTACTCAACACACGGCCTGTGGGCCACATGCAGCCCACAGCCTATTTGTTTGCGGCCTGCACTGCAGTTGGGTTTATGCAGCGCTTAACATGAAGCCCACGTGTGGGATCCTTTGAACATGGCCTCCACTGGGAACACGCTCCATAACGGCGAGTCAATAGAATGGTCTTCTGTTGATATGCACTTCAATAAATTCCTGGACTGTAATTACTCATTAAAAGTGCTGTCATATGGGTGGAAATCAGGTAAATATTGCATTTGATTAACATCAACAGAACTGACTTAAATGGGGTCTGCGTTTTGTGTAGTCTTGCCTTAATCTTTGTATTCATGCCCGTAAATGTGAAAGAAGTTATTTGCATCTATCTGCAAAAACACTTAAGTTGCGGCCATCAGCGTGTGCTGTGAGTATCATTGTGGCCCTTGGGACTTCCAAAGTTGAGAATCCTTACGTTAGATAATATAGTTTTCATGTACGGATCTCAGAAGAAACTGTGCCATGAATGCTGCGGTTCATTTACACTTTGCAGTTATTGTGAGTTAGGCTTTGCCTAGACTAGGATTTAAAAGGTGATGTTAGCACTTAGCTAACATTTTAAAAGTTTAAGACAAAGATAGAATCATAGAACTGGAAGAGACCTCAGAAGGTCATCAAGTCCAGCCCCCTGCTCTAGGCAGGACCAATTCCAACTAAATCAACCCAGCCAGGGCTTTGTCAAGCCGAGACTTAAACACCTCTAGGGATGGAGACTCCACTACTTCCCTAGGTAACCCATTCCAGTGCTTCACCACCCTCCTAGTGAAATAGTTTTTCCTAATATCCAACCTGGACCTCTCCCACCACAACTTGAGACCATTGCTCCTTGTTCTGCCATCTGTCACTACTGAGAACAGCCTCTCTCCATCCTCTTTGGAACCTCCCTTCAGGAAGTTGAAGGCTGCTATCAAATCCCCCCTCCCTCTTCGCTTCTGCAGACTAAACAGACCCAAGTCCCTCAGCCTCTCCTCATAAGTCATATGCTCCAGCCCCCTAATCATTTTGGTTGCCCTCCGCTGGACCCTCTCCAATGCGTCCACATCCTTTTTGTAGATAACAAGCCTTGCCTATGGTGTTAAATTAATCAAAATAAAGCATAGGGAGAGACTAGCTAGGGCTAACACTGCACCTTTAACTCTTAATCTAGGAATGAAGAGCAGTCCTGTAGCACTTTAAGATACGTCTAGGCTACAGGTGGTTTTTTTTTTTTTTCAGAAAAAAGTGGCCTTTTTTTGAAAAAAACTTCCCCTGCATCTAGACTACCATGGTCTTTTGAAAGTAAATTGAAAAAATGCGGTAGTTTTTTCAATCGCAGAAAACCTCATTTTACGAAGAATAACGCCTTTTTTCGAAAGTGCTCTTTCAAAAAAAGGTGCTATTGAACGCAAACTGTGCTTTTTCAAAAGAGAGCATCCAGACTGCCTGGGTGCTCTCTTTTGAAAAAGTGGCTCGCTTTTTCGAAAGCGCTGGCTGCAGTCTAGAATCTCTCTTTCGAAAGAGGCTTGTAGTTTAGACGTACCTCCAGAGACTAACAAAATTTCTATAGCTCTACAGAGTATCCTAAGCTTTTGTGGGAAAACCCACTTCTTCCAAGGGCCACTCTAGCTCATCTGAAAAAGTAGGCTTTGCCCAGGAAAGCTCATGATTCTCTCTCTATTTTTGTTAATCTGTAACTTTAAAAAGGAGTAGTCCTGTGTCACCTTAGAGACTCACGCCCAGAGAAGCGAAGGCTGGTTGGGTTCTGAGGATGGAGAGAGGTATTGTGTGTACCCGAATCCTCCACACTTGGAAAGCGAGGTCCAGAAGCCTCGGGTATAAAATGGGACGAATGGTTCACCAGGGGTCAGAGGCAGCAGAGCGTTTGCAGCTGTGGTGCCACAAAAGGCTCTGGAAGGAGGGAAATGTTCGGGAGGGAGCCCGAGCATCTGCCGCGGGAGGGTGAGCGCCGGGGAGCTAAAGCGCCATGTCGAAGGGTCAGACTCCGCACAGCCTGGCAGGGGCCAGCCCTGAGCCAGGCCGAGGGCGCAGGAAGGCGCCGGCTGAGGGGAACCGGGAGCTGTTCCGCTTTCAGCCGCCAGGGGAGGAACGCGCGCGGGCGGGCGGGGTTCCACTGGGGCAGCTCCCCAACCAGGAGAGGGGCAAGACACAGTCCCATAAAGCGCCATGTCGAAGGGTCAGACTCCGCACAGCCTGGCAGGGGCCAGCCCTGAGCCAGGCCGAGGGCGCAGGAAGGCGCCGGCTGAGGGGAACCGGGAGCTGTTCCGCTTTCAGCCGCCAGGGGAGGAACGCGCGCGGGCGGGCGGGGTTCCACTGGGGCAGCTCCCCAACCAGGAGAGGGGCAAGACACAGTCCCATCCAGGGCCTGGGGGAGGCGCCACCTCCCGCGCGCAGGCAGCCCCCCCGCCCCTTCTC